TCACACTTTTTAAAGTGGCACATATATGAACACACAGGCACACATGCAAGCTTGCATTGGGCAAGTAGCCTGGATTCTGCTTTCAGGTGGTGGAAATAACCTACAAAAAACACAAACTGAAACCCTTTTGGTTTTAATACCTTCAGAATACTTTGCTGTAGAAAGAGCACCCAGCAAATAAAGGCTTTCAATACCTCTTGACCCCTTAGATGGAGAATACATTAAGAGAAAAGGTGGGAAAACATATAGGATTATCCTGTGCTCTGGTTCCTCTATGCTTGTATAGCAGAGTACAACAGATCCTAGTTGTGCCTCCTCTTCCATCCAGAAATCAAATTAGAAAGGAATTAGAGGAAATTACACCTGCATCTGGGATGTCTGGAAATGTAGCGGCTAAGTTCAGCTTTGGGATGTCCAGGCCAAACACCACCCCATATACACATCAATTTTGCAGTATAGACATGGACAGCCTGCATCTCCTGGAAAATGTGAATAGCAAATTGAACACATCCTAGGGAAATTTACTGTGTGTATTCCAGTGCTTTCCAGAAGCTTACACAGCTCATAACAATATATTTTGTATATGGAGAAATCCTTATTTTTATGCTGACAAGGTTACAGGTGGCTACAGGGTTTCTTCAAGGTACACCAAGAACCAGTCATCTGTTTTGGGGAAAACAACTGATCTGAACCACTGCCAAAACAATGAAAGACTCAAAGTAACTTGAATGATCATTGTTCAGACCTGAAATCCTGGAAATGTGATACAGACCACAAAGCCCATGAAGTTTAAATTCTCTATATTAAGTAGTTTTGCTTTTTGTACCAAGCTTATTTGGTTCTTCTACTCCTGAAATATGCGAGAGCCATGCTTTCTCAAAATGCCTACAGTAAAAAATCCTCAGCACCACAAGAGAAATTAAAGATTACTAAAACCTCACTTTTAATCATTGAAATTAAACACAGAGTTCAATTTACTGCTTTTAAAATCCTTGGTTGTTTACAAAGAGCATAGAGAATCAATAGATAAATTGGTGAACTCTATGTGAATAAGATTAAAAACAGTTCCACAGAAGTGACCATGCTCCCAAAGCTCTTACTAGCTTTTCTCTGTTCTGTATGTAATTGCCAGATAAATTATCTTTTCTGTTACAGTAATATTTTTACTGCATGTGCATACACCCAACTGTAAAAATATTACAAGCTAAAGTCCATTCCGCATTTGCAATATGAAACAAAAAATTACAGAAATCATTTAAGGGAAAGCTAAATTGCAAACATGAATTCTGAAAAACAGATAATTGTCACTGACTGCATGTGCTGTTCAGCTCGCATCGATTTGTATCATTCTGAAGCCAATGACATCATTTTTTCCTTTGTAGCTTCCCAGTTTTTTTTCCTTTGTGTACCTCTATTTTTCATGTTGAATACATGTTTCAGCCCTGCTCATAATGTTATTAACCCAGATGCAATTTTCACTGATACATTTTTCCAAGCAGAAAAGCTTTAGCCAGTTCTTAGATATAGAAGGAGGGAGGGGAACAAGTCGCCACTGAGCATCTGACAGCAAATCCCAGACCCCTGCTTTGCTGTTGAATATTTTGACAGAAGAAGCAATATGCAGCCAGGCTTGAAAAGCACTGAATGCTCTTAGATTGGACCCAGAGCCCAGAAATCCCCTGAATCAGGCTCCTATGCTGGAAGTTTACATCTCTACCTAAGATAAACGGCTATTTCTGAGGTTACCTAGACTACAAGAGCGTTCTGAAATCACTGAAATGAGCCACACATACAGCTGCACAGCTCAGCAGCAGCTGAATGTCTTTGGCACAGGATCTTGATGCACACAGGATTACTCTAATTAAAATCTGGATTTAAATTAAAAAAAAAAAAAAACAACAAACAACTACAAATAGGCTTTCCTTATACAGGAGTCATCCTTATTACCACAAGTGACCTTATGGAAATCAATTAAAGCACCTGCAGAACAGAGGACACCAAAAGCCTCCACACCCGAGTACTGATGAACACAGATGCTTATCTTAACAACGGATTTAATTGTTACAGTCAAAAGCCGTTCTTCATGACATGTCTAACAAGTGTATTACAGCTGAGATGTTCAGACACGGGTGCTTAAACTGGGCAGCCAAACCCTTGTGTTATACCCACACTATACAAATCTGTTAGCATTACTACTCTGACAATCTGCTGTTCCACAACAACAATTTTTATCAGCAAAATGTTATCCTTTCTATGGCACCTCATATATCATTTGGAGGGCACTTCATTAATCTTTCTGCTGGCACAAGGAATAGTTTCAGGGCCTCTAAGGCACAAACAGTCTTACAGACAGCTTAAAAAAAAAAAAAAAAAAAAAGAAAAAAAAAAAGTGAGAGAAGGTGCTGAAGATGAAAACTCTGACTCAGCTATCCAGATTTTTAAGCTCTTACCACAGAACATTTAACAAACACACCAAAACTTTACTAAAAGACACTGATAGCTATTGCATTACCTGGCCTTACCTTTACACCCAGTGCACTTTAGCCTCTATAACACACCAAAAAAAGAGTTTACCTAGCTTATATGGTTCTTCTGTCTCTGTGCATACATTAGCGTGGCTCTAAGGTACAGAACATTTGTGGGGTCTCTCAAGATATCTAGCAAAGCTGACTTAGGTCCATGATGAGCAGTGTAAAGTTGTGATAAGCATAATGACATTAGGAACTAAATTCACTTGAGAGGTAATCAGCATTTTCATGCCATTAAACATCTCAGTTTAGGCACTGTCTATTTTGGCATAAAGTATTAACGTACCTGGCATTCATGAAGCAAAATGCAAGCCCTGCTTAACATCACAAGGATGTTAATGAGAGTGACAGCAGAGCATCTTTAGGAGCAGGGCGTGCCATGCAAGTCAGTTCTCCTCTGTTCACACATCCTTTAGTAAAGGTCACCTCAGTGGACAACATCACCAGAGATGCCACAAACAATTCAAAAAAAATTAAAAAGTACAGCAAGGAAAAGGAAAGCAATCCATAACTTAAGGAAATGACACTCTGCAACAACAGGAAAGGATAGTGCCACTCAGGTCAGAAAGAAGAGTGCAAAAGGCCTGTGATGGGGGAACAGCAGACGTAAGCATAGTATTAATGGTATGTAGTAACCTAAGAACTCGATTCCTTTCCCTCAGAAATCTGCTCATATAACTCTAGAACACAAACTGTCACCCATCAGAGGCCCTGTCTGCAAAAGCAGATTTCCCCAAATTCACCAAGAATTTGACACTGAAAGGATTATTTGTCATTTGTTAGACACAGGAAAATAAGCTAGCCCCACAGGAACAGGAAGAAATGCACATAATTCAGTGTAAATTGCTGCAGTAGTAACCTCAATAAGCATAGGATGTATTTACACAGGGAACTTCTCTGACAAGAGTAAAGCACGCAGCCTTGAGGCTCTTGGAATACACGGAATTAGGGTAAAATATGTGACAACAAGAATAAGGCAGAAGCTAGAAAGTGCGGTATTAGTCCTGGCTTTGGTACAGTCCACTCCGATCACTGGTAAAAGCTGCTGCTGTGCTTTACCTCTGCTTCTGTGGAACAGGGACATGGAACCTTAGGGAACCAAAGGCAGACACAGGGAGCTCACAGGATGTGCTTAGCAGGACCACAGGAAAATGGCCTGACACACACAAAATTTTCTTTGTATACTCCAGTCAGTAAGAAGACCTCAAACCACTTGAATTGCTCCTTTCCTGCTCCCTACTGTGTCTTTTATTGAAAAGTAAAAACAACAATAATAAAAATGCTCTTGGAAATACCTCCAAACAGAGGAGATTCTCAGACAGCTCACTGCTACCTTCATTGGAGCCTGATATTTCCTCAGTAGACTTACAAGAGTAAGCAGCCCTTGTATTAATGAAAGAGAACAACACAGCAACGATCACACTGGATTGCTCCCAACCATCTCCAGCTGATGTGCTCATGTAGCAACAGCATTGGGAAGCCTGTCTGGCCCCTACTCCGCCTCTAAACAGCAGGTGACTTTTTCTTTTTTTTGGCTTAAATTCAAACTTGGATCCAAATAATCATTGAAAAAAATACATACAGTTATTTCCATGCACAAACTTGTGTTTAAATGCACGCATTGGTAACCTGTGATAGATCACAAGGGAACATCACGAAGCCGCACCAGGGGACGGTCAGATTGGACATTAGGGAAATGTCTTCACAGTGATTGTGGTCAAACATAGGGATAGGCTTCCTAGAGAGGTGGTTGGTGCCCCATGCCTGTCAGTGCTCAAGAGGCAAAAGGGCAGTGCCCTCAGTAACTTTTGGTTATCCTTTCAGTGGTCAGGCAGCTGGACCAGATGATCTTTGAAGGCCCCTTCCAACTGAACTGTTCTGTTCCGTTCTAAAGACAATAAGTTATCCCAGAAAAAAAGCAAAATGGATTCTCCCTGTGCATGACTTTTTCCTGTATTACTGTTTGCCTGTTTAAAACATAATTCACCTGGATTCATATGATGATTTTCATCTTTGGATGACGACTTTAGGTTCTTCTCAGTATACTGAGCATCAACACATTGAACACCAATACCTACAAACATCCCTTGAGCCTCAGCCCAGAACTTGGGTGCAACCTGAGTCAATTTGGTCATGCAGACAGGGGTATTCTTACCTATGCCACACTAGATTAAGCGCACAAAGACAACAACTCACGAACACACAGCTGCATGCATAGGCAGAAGGGAGGAAAAGAACCGAGAAATCCCATCTCCAATTTCTATTTATAGGCGGCATCGTGAGGAAGAGCAGATGCCGCTTCCCGGCACAGGGCGATGTGAGGGCACGGGGGGATGCCCCCCACCAAGGGACCTCTGCCCGGGCTGCGCTGCTCAGCACCAACAGGTGCAGCACCCTAAAACTCCCCCCACCCCTATTTTTAGCGGCATTCCCCCCCGTTACCGCGGCGGATGGGTCGGGAGATGCTCCTACCTGCGCGGCCATGAAGGAGAGGTCCATGGTGCTGGGGCTGGAGCTGCCGGCCGAGCTGCCGGGGGTGCCGAGGCCGCTGCTGCTGCCGCCGGGGACGGGCGGGGCGCGGGGGCGCGGGGCGGGCGCCGCCTCCCCCCCCCCCAGCAGCGGCGGCACCGGGACCGGCACCGGGACCGGCACCGGGACCAGCTCCAGCTCCGGCGGCTCCCGGCCCGGCCCCCGCCTGGCTTGTGCCGGCACGCCCCCGCGGGTAGGGGGCCGGGGGGGCTCGGGAGGGCTCCCCACGGTCCCGTCTGGTCGCTTCTCCCGGGATGGAGCTGCCGGGGATGAGCCCCGCGGCTCCCGCCGTCGGCTGGACACGGCGATAGGGATGGGGGAGGCTGGGGAGGGACGGGGAGAGGGGCCCCCAGGGGAGCGGGGTGGAGCGGGGGGGTCCCGGTCAAGGCGCTGGGGAGCAGGTGGAGCTCAGCGCCCGCTGCAGCCCGGGGAGGGCAGGCTGCCTGCTGCGCCCAGCGAACCCAGCACCTGGGCTCCCAACTGCTCAGCCAGCTCCTTCAGCGCCACAGCTGAAAGGGATTTCTGACATGTGCTCTTACACGGAGCGGGTGATCCTGGAGGTCTTTTCCAGCCTTAACGATTCTCTGATTCTCTTCGTGACTTAGCTGCTACAGCTTCGTTTGTAACCTTTCTGCTTCTTGCTCCCCGTATTTGCCATTCAACAATTCACAATAAAGACGTTTTGTCCTTTGTGATATGCTTTCTCTTGTGTCTCACAGACATTTTTCATCACTATGAGTGAAAATTCAGTGATATTTTATTGGATGGTATTGGGAAACCTTTGACACCAACTAGAAAAGCAGAATAACAGAAATTTATTTCCTTATGTGCTGAATGCTCTTGCTGTGAGATTTCTATAGTCCCTCTGCCGTGTACCTGTTTCATCTCCAAGACTAAACCATTTCACCATGCATTTATTACTTCAGCTTAACACAGGGGCCTAAACCAGGGCTGGAGGGAATATGACTGTATGCCAATAGAAGAACTACTTGAAGAATCAGCTTTGCACTTGGCTTTTAAACTCCAGAAGAAAAAAAAATAGTACATACATTCACACTGTGAACTGTATGCTGCTTGGTAAGTATAAAGTTGCATTGTTGCAGCAGGTGGTGGTAAAAAACACAGCTGTTTTAAATCAGTCCTTTACTTGACTGACTATTAGAGTGCCTGCCAAAAATGCTTTTATGTGAAGAGGCCCATTAACTAAAACAAGTAAAATCCAAAAGAGGCTGTGCCATTTTAAGGTTTAAAAATTCAGTTCTGTAAATAATGGAATTGTCTCTTTGTGGACTGCCTCCAAAGTTTTGAAAGGGTATTGATGCATGTGTCAGAAGCCGTAAGGTAAATTCAAAATGATGTTAATCTTTATCAGCCAGATAAATTTTATATGCACTCTGTAGACATCTCTGCCTGATGAATGTGGCGAGGGCTGTCTATGCATTTGCAGCAGCAGCTATAGTGAAGATCATTTCATTAGAAAAACTAAATAACCAAGGCTTTGAATTTTCTGTATTTGATTAATTTTATGGAGCATAGGAATGGTAGGCAAATAGAGCTGGAAAGGACCCCAAGAAATAGCTTAGTCCCCATGTAGATGTCTAAAATAGTACGAGTTACACCTGTGGCCCTTCAAGCAGGGGCTTTACCTCTACCCAATCTCTTCTTGAAAGTATCCAGTGAAGAAAATTTCATCCTTTATTCCACTGGCCATTTCCTAAGGCTGTGTCTACTAGGGATGTGGAGAAGAGATTATTTTCTAAGGGACAACCACAAGCCTTCCAATAGCTATTGATGGATACTCTATTTGTCTTTTTTCCAATCTTTTATATCTTGTCTATCCCCTAAAATCAAGGAGAATTTCTAACTGCAAAATAGTTTGTTCAGTCAGATTTCCAAGTGTTTTACGGTGACATTCAATAAGCTCAGCCAACTAAGTAGTCTCCAAGAGGCTCCTGGCTGACATCTTCGTTCTCACACGTAACAGCATGAGATCACAGAATCATTCAGGATGGCAAAGGCCTCCAAGATCATTTAGGCCAACCTTTAACTTAGCACTGAAAGTTCACCACTAAATCATGCTACTAAGTTCTACATCTACAAGTTTCTTGAAGACCTCAATGGAAAGTGACTGAACTTCTTCTCTGGGCAGCCTGTTCCAATGCCACACAACCCCTTCAGTAAAATTTCTCTCAATATCCAACATAAACCTCCCCTGGTGCAACCTAAGGCCATTTCTCCTTGTCTTATCACTTGGTGCCTGGGAGAAGAGCCCAACCCCCACCCCACTACAACTTCTTTCAGGTAATTGAATAAGTTCTCCCCTGAACTGCCTTTACTCATAGTTGACCTTTTAGTGAGCAATGGCTCATTATCACTTTGAATTTCTTCACATCAAGATTCATTAATTTTACCTTTCCACTGAAAAAATGACCAGCATTTTCATTGGTCTATTAGTATACTTCTGCATGTTTTTCTTTATATCTTTGGTATTTCAAAAAATGATTTATTATTATTTTTTTTTTGTCTTATGTAGTTGCTCACTTCAGGAATACCTTACAGAACAATTATTGGAGAAAAATAAATGTGAGTTGTTCAGGTTTCAAATTCTTCATTTCTACACTGACTTTTGTAAAACCTTTTTATCTATTAAAACTTGGATTTAGCAGAAACATACATGTAGTTCAATACAGGGGACAATAAACTCAGCTACTTTCAGTTCCTATTACAGAAAATTAACTAGCGTCATTCCATTATGAGATTTGAGTGATATGCAAAATCACTGTTCTTGATATATGAAAATTCCCACTAGGTTAGAGAGAATGAAGAGTTCATTACATAGAGTGAGAGCAGAAAGTAGTTCTTATCATTATAGCTTGCCAATGCTATACGTTTATTGGTAATATAGAAAGTGATGATATCTGTTAAGCACCTGGAAGTTTAATTGAAATGGCAAATGGTAGAAGAAAAATAAATTCAAGGATTACTGTATATGGCAGCTGTCCTGCTTGTGTGATCTGTGAGCATTCTTAGAGTCCAGTGCTAGGTTCCTTTAGATGTCACTATACTTCACCTCAGCCAGGAATTTGGTTAACTTATCATGGGGGATAGTGTCAGTCAAAATCAGCCTTTGTGGAAATACCTGTAAAGAAATTGTCCCTTTACCCTGAGGGAAAAAGGAAAAGGAACATTTCTGGTGCAGCTTTGTCATCTGCTTCCCTAGTTTTAAGAGCATTAGATTAACTGGAGCAGCATCTCTGTTTGCAAGAGTCATCCAAGCTGATATCAAATTTAGTTTTAGAAGGAGTTTTTCATTAACAAAAATATTAATTACCACAATGTCCTCAATCTCCAAGCTGTTCAGTTACTTTTTGTATTTCTTAAGCTCAACAAAGGAAAAACAGTCTTCAGTAAGAACACAGTGAGCACAATTCTGTACAGTTTACTCTGCAAATAATTTATGAAACAAATCATTTGTTGCAAGCCCTGATAATGATTCTACAAAATATAATATTTTGTTTCTCCTTCTTCTTCCCTGAAAATACATTCTGGATGAAAATTGTTTACAATAGCCCTGTAAGCTGTTCTATAAAGCAAGTATTTTAGACCTTCTGTCTTCCAGTAATGCTGATGGAGAGTTTGAATTGAGATCTAATAGCTGTTTTGCTGACCTTTTGTTATAGCTTTCCCATCAAGACTATCTGGACCACTTAAATAGATTATGTCATGATTTGCTATTCTCTGGACACACACTATAACACCCAGCTGAAACTGCAAACAGCGTTGTATAACATTATTCTTAAAAACAAGCTATGATAGCCTAAGACGCTCTTTAATTAGCTTCAAAGCCATTTGCTAAAAAGACCACATTTTTCAGTACAGCAGAACATAATTCAATTAGAGAATAGTTTGGTTTGTCAGATTTCCTGGGGCATAGTAGGAAATCCTTCGTTGCTCTGAATGTGTGCATACGTTCTGCCTTTGCTTCACAAAACAGACCTAACAGAACTTGACAATCGAGTCTTGCTGCTGAAAAGGATTTTAAATGGGCTTGTATCTGTACAACCCTGTTTACCATTACCATATGTTATATTTAGAGACCCAAGGCAAGTCAGGACCAATTTTAATTTTGTATCCTTTAAATCTCATTTAAATATTACAATTGTATGGGGGAACTGAGTTCCACTTTGGGGAGGGAACATTATGTTGGCTTCTTGATGCATTTTGAATGTACATAAACACTGTTCTGATTGAACTCCAATATTAACCTACTGTTGCCTCATTGCAGCAGGTTGCAGTGACACAGGGCAATTAGCTCTCTTAATGAAGAATCAGCCACCGTGACATGTGGTATCCTGTCTGAAGACAGAGTGCATTGTCTCTGACAGACCCCTGCTGTTCAGTGTAACATAAAGGAGGCCAAGGATACTGAATTTTTCAAGTGAAATCTGCTTGGACTGTATTACTGAAAGGGAACTCCTCCAGAAACATTTGACTTTTTTTTTGTTGTTCTCCTGTTCATTCATTCAGGAATCAAAAGATTAATCAGCAAGTATGTTAATTTTGCTTTCTAACAACATTTTGTCTTTCAGCAACCAAAAAAAAAAAGGAGAGAAAAAAGTATCACCTGTGACTTAACGCAGCACAGCCCTCATCTTTCAAGCTGCCAGTTCCCCTGATTGGGATCCAGGACCACACAAATTAATTCAACTGGGCATGGAGCTGCTCTGAATCAGGCAATAATAAAGAGTAAGCTTAGATATGTGGTTAAGTGAATACTTTGTTCAGAAACATGAGTGTATGAGTCCATTTTGCAGACTGATGTCTCCTCTGGCTCCAGATCCAATAACCTCTCCTGAGAGGAGAGCCACAGCTTTTCTTTCATGAAGACAATGTGTGAGCACTGTTCTACCTTGTGACCTATTGGAAAGGGCCTGTTATTTAAAATACCAAGATAAGGGATAAAGCCAGAAGAGGGAAACTGCCTATCAAGTGACACTACCAAGCCCATGATGGATCAAACAGGTCCTGGTTCCCTAGGAGAATGTCTTCTACAATAGTCTGGGAGTGGGAAGACCACCTGCTCTGCAAACCAAGCTGAAAGCAGGTGTCTCTGCAGAAGGATGTGTAAGTCACTGGGTGAGGAAGAAAGGACTTGGGGGAGTCTGCCTGTATCTCGGTGTGTCAGGCACTCCCGTGTGTGCAAAGCAGCCTGGGTCTCAGACCCCATTGGCTGGACAACTCACCTGACAAATAAACCCCTTTTTTTCCCCACAAATGCTGAAGCATCCCTGCTAACCTCTCACTGTATCCCAGTAATCAAAAAGGGGGAGGCAACATGGCCTAATGTGTTTGGGATGGGTTACATCCCTTTTCATCCTTCTGAATTTCCAGTACCAGCAGATGTT